TTTTTTTTCTCACCCATTATCTTGTTGTTGCTTCGGAGGTGCGATTTTGCTATGCTGCACAATAAAGATTGCTTAGCTCTCTTTTTATTTGATGAAGTTCTCGCATAAGTTTGGAGCTTCATCTAATTCACCTAACCTATGGCTAACAAGAAGTGTCTCTTTACGTTGTGCTAATATTGCTAATTTTTTAGGGCTGAGGCTTTGAAGGTTCAAATTGAAGAGCTACAAAAGGAACAAGAACAGCTAAACGAGGAATTAGGACGTGTGGAAATAGAAAAGGAGGAATTGGTAATTGTTCAAGTCATACAAATAAACATCAATTTACGTATTGAAACACAATGCCGAAAAGTGATTGTGAATGGATGTAATGAGTTACATATTATGCGTGAGATGGAGAGAAATTTTTGCGTCAGTCTTGCATGGATAGAACACTTCCGTTGTCTTGGTGACTCTGAATAGCCATTTCTTTAATTTCAGACTATTCTTAGAGCTTTCATGTTAACTAATAACGGAGGATTTAATTTTTGTGGTTTATTTGAGAGTTGATATTGCAAAGGATATATGCGAAAAAGCCGGGATATACGGTACTTCTGCCAAATCCTGTAGGAAGGCTCGATACTCGTTGCCTCTCAAATAGTTGAAGCGTGAGCTCCAAGAGGGTCGAATTTAGCAACTTGAGCTTCGACTATTTGAAAGGAATAGGGAAAGAAGCAGGCGCATCACGTGTTTGCAACGTTTGCGTACATATCTCTCGCGAGAAGCTAGTCGACAAACAGACCATACATTAATTTACCGAAATGTAAAAGACTTTATCATTCTTCTTTGATACAGTGTTGTGCTAAATTTCATCCGCATCGCTGGTTCTGTCTAATGGCATTTTTTTTAACGAATAAGAACATTAAGATTGAATTACATCTTCTGTGGTGCTAAATACATGTGTACTGCGATAAAATCACCTTGTTATGTTTGGGACAAAAGTGTTTGATTGCCGTTTTTTAGTTGAAGTCCTTTGCTTTGAGCCAAGGGAAAGAGAGTGAAGCGGTCCAACGACTCAGTGAAGAGTTAAAAGCAGCTAATCAGCAAAATGAAGCCTACACGAAGGAAAGGGACATGTGAGATTTTTTTCATAGGACACATTGATTTTCCCCTTTCCTATTCGTTAGAAATACCTTTATGTTGTTGTTGATGTTTGTTGACTTACTTTTCACATTTTTTAGCAATTCTATCTTTTTGTTAAAAAAGGTACTTTAAGATTGTTAGCTGAGATTGATAAGCTCTCAACAAGAATCGAGAGTGGAACTGAGACTTCCCAACAAGTACAACAACAACTGCTAGTAGCTCAAGCTGAAATAACCCAGCTCAATGGAGAGGTACATCCTTATGCACAGTTGGTTAGCTGACTATAGTTATCCATTGTAGAAAACGATGATGGAGGAACTACTGCATAAATCTCAATCTGAGAGAGCTGAGCTTCAAGAGAGGGTGGCTAGTCTTGGCAAGGAGATGGTGAGAGTCTACTGCAGTAGATTTAGCACATTAGTTGCTTTTGCCTAGGAATCTTTGCAAGAAAAGCATCAAGATGAGCTGAAATTAGTTCGATCAGAGCTAGCAAGTCAGGCTGGCGGATCTCCTGATATCTCACAACAAGTATGTCTGCTTATTTCTCCAGCTGAATAGTTGTGACGTTGGTCATCCAGATGAAAGATGAATTTGCCGATGCGATGGAGAAAGTGAGGACAACAACAGAGCAGAAGAATATGCTTAGTAAAGAGATGGAGCAATTGAAAAATAAAATGGCTGAACTGCAGAGAGAGGTTGTTTCAAATTTTGTTTTCTTATTTGTTTGTGTATGTTAACTGTTTTGGGTTTTTTTGAAACGAAATTACGTTAGCAGAATTTTCGGTTTTCGTGCATTATGCTCATTTCCATATCTTGACGAGATTTAGGTAACTTCCCTTCGATTAAATGAAGCAACCGCGAATGTGCTAGTCTCTGAAGCGAAACAGAAAATGTGAGAATGCTCTCACTCTTCTAAAATTAAACATTGTGGTTTTTTTTCTCAGTGACATCTACAATGAACTTGAGCAAGACTGGCAGAAGAAACAGCTTCGAATGAGTGAGAGAATCGAAGAATTGAGCATCGAGTTGGAACAAGCGAAATCGCGAACTGAAAGTGAAGAAATTGACGCGTTGAGGAGAGAGGTTTGTGTCTCTCTTTGTTAGGTAGCTATTTCTTATATCATGATTCGCACTCCTTAGCTTGCCTTTACGCATTCCATCATCGCTGACCAAAGAAGAAAAGAAGCCGCCTTGCGAGAACAAATTGCAGAGTTGAACAATCT